GGCGCCGCGCCGCCGTGCGGAGGGGAGGAGCGACAGCGCCCGCTGCGCATGCGCGCGCCGCCGCCTCTGCCGGCGGGGCAGCGCTGCGGTCGCCATGTTTGTTTCTCGGCGAGCGGCCGCGGGTCCTTCCTCGTCGTTCCTAAGCTCAAATTGCTGCCAGCAACCTGGCTGCATCAGCCCACCAGCGTTTCTCGTAGCTGGGCTAAGGCTTGGTGATGTGCGAGAGGCTGATCTGCAGCAAATCAGCTGCAGCTGACCCAGTCTGGGGTCAGTTGGGATTTCAGGCCGGTGGTGGCAGCGAGCGGTCAGGTCTCTGGCACTACAGAGTCTGTAAAAGGTGTTGGTGCCTGTTGAGAGCCAAGATGAACAGGCAGCGTTAAAACACCCACAGAACACAGCGGGTAGAGGGGGAGATAGGGAAAAAATCTGCAGACTGCTCTTGCTTGGAAAATGTACAGAGAAGGGATGTCTAGAGAGAGGCCTGTGTCAGGGGGCTGGTCCAGGGGCTCAGAGGTAAGCAGTGCTCTTGACACAGCCCAGACATGGAAAAACATCCTGGGTATCGTGCTGCAAATTGGAATAAAGGACACCTCACTTTGCTGCTGGGCGGCGTGTGCGCCCTGGGGAAGTTTATCGTAACGGATCTGGCTGAAACAACCCGTGAAGGAGCGGTGGCTGTATCTGTGCTATGCTGTCGAGCAGCAGCTAGGCAGCCTTGGGCCCAGCTGAGTTGCTTGTGTGTGTTGTCAGCCTGATGGAGCATCCTTGAGGTGTACGTGGGGCTCAAGGAAGGTGTGCCCAGCGTTTTGAGCATTCCCCAGCGAGTGCTTAAACCGAAGTTTGAGTATGATGTCCTTCTTAATTGAGCCGAGCACAGGAGATCTTGTGAAAGACCTTCCTTGTAAGAGCCCTGACGTTGCTTGCCTTCAGGACAGAATGATTTCTGGGCAGGCAGAGTCCAGAGAAAAAGCAGGTGGCCTACAATAGACCATACAGAATTCAGAGCAATTCAGATCTGGATAGGTGCAGGCGTGGAGCATCCATGCAAATAGTGCGAACAGGCAAATTCAGCTCTGGAGGCTGCAAACCTACTGACCAAAAATGCAAGGTCTAGTGACATGAGGGCCAAGCATTCACTGCACACACACAATCCCAAGACGGACTTTGGGAAAAGAAAACAGCCCTGAGTTTCTCATACATACGATCTTTCATGCCTGTATACAGAGTTAGAATAGATTTGTGATGGAGAGGACCGTGCAGAGTCTAAGGGGCCCTATTTTCTCCCAGCTCTATTTGGATGATGTGAACTGC